CTTCCACATCCCTCTTTCCACCCCACCCCTCTCCCATCCTTCTCTCCACATCCTCCCCTCCACCTCCATCCCCAACCCTATGCCTCTATCCACCTCAAACTCTTACCCTCTACATCAACCCTCTCCTCCCCCCCATCCCCCTACACCCCTCACCTGTTGGAAGATCAAGTGTGTAGCTACAGGATCCTCCTTAGGCTCGTGCCATGGAGCAAAGATCTCCTTGCGGAAAAACAGCCTCCAGGGGGCGTTGCGCTCCTGTGCCCCTTGCTCCTTGGCGTACTGCTCACACTGGGAGATGGCGTCCATCACGTGGTCTCCGCCGCTACCCAGAGACGACACCTGTACACACCGGGGCGAGGTGAGACAGAGTTTTACATTACTGTCAACATAATTGGAAATACGTGTAATTCTAGTGGTGCCAACCTTTGCATCATTTTTTAAAGACGAAAACACACACCAAAGAGATCTTTAAAACTCAGACCTTGTCAAAAAGGAAAAAAAAAGGCAGATTGTGTCTTTTTCTAAATAGATACAGACTTTGTTAAAGAGAAAAAAAAACAGACCTTGTCAATGAAAGACACAGACCTTGTCAGATAAAAAACACAGACTTTATCAAAGAGAAAAGACAGAGACCATGTCAAAGAGAAAATAAGACACAGACCTTGACAAAAAGAAAAAAAGCGCACACCTTGTAAAAGAGAAAAGAACACAAAATCTTGTCAGAGAGTTAAAAAAATATCAGACATTCCCAAAACAATAAAAAGACACCGACCTTTTCAAAGAGAAAAAAAATCACAGTTATTGTCAAACAAAAAGACACGGACCTTGTCAAAGAGAGCGATGTAGAGGGAGAAGCCAAACTGGTCCTTGAGGCCGATCTTGTCGGAGAGCTGCTGGCACAGTTCCCGCGCCGTGGTGGCCGAGTCTGCAAAGAGGGTCTTGGAGTTCGAGTCCATGAACGTGATGGGCAGGATCACCGGCTTTTTTGACTTGGTGGCCTGAGGAGGGGAGACGGAGGAACGTGAACAATAATCCACACTGTTGTACCGACTGACTTACGCAGATACCTTTTCTTTCACAATACATCTAAATTTTAAGTAAAGTAATTAAATGTACGGATTTTCGTTTAGTTTTAGTAAGAGTCTTACAGCACTTGCAACACAAGAAGGTCATATAAGTGCCAAAGATTACAGGTGTTACAAGAAAGTAACATGCACAAAAAAAAAGGATGAGAGATCAGGACGATAGCTGTTTGATAGGAAAGAAGGAGCAAACCACACTAGAGCACCCGCCAACCATCCACAACAAACTGTCATATAGTGAGGAACATGAGCAACGACCGAAACTGTAGTATGGATGAGCTTATGAAGAGTTCTCTTCTTTCACAACAAATCTACACTTTTGGGGTTTTTTGTTTTTAGTAGAGGTTTTACAGCGCTCGCAACTGCATAAGGTCATATGAGCGCCAAGAGGT